TCCATGTCTGAGTCCAGTTCCTCGCCCTGCGTGATGTAATGGCTTGACAATGTCTAATTTGACGTGGTTTTGTTTTTATAACTATTGGGCTTCATAATCCCCCCCCCATGACAACTGGGTGTGATAATCCACCGCAAAAAATCATTTACAAACATATGCTTTTGCGCGAACCACGACCACGAATTCAGCTCTTCCATTGTTATCGTTCTCAGAAGTGCTGGAAAAACACCGAGAAATCGATAAAGTCCCGGATGTCTTCATAGGGACGGAAGTGTACATGCGAGCACGAGGTCTTAACCAGAGGCGGGGCCAAGGAGCTGGAGCTTAACATCAACAAGCCACGAGGTACGTACAGATCAGCTGTTTTTTTGGTCTTAAAAAAAAGTTTGGTCTGTTTTTTTTTTTTTTTTGTCTCTTGGACCACCAGAAAGTACCAATATGTAGTGATGGACCACCAGAAAGTACCAATATGTAGTGATGGACCACCAGAAAGTACCAATATATAGTGATGGACCACCAGAAAGTACCCACATGTGGTGATGGACCACCAGAAAGTACCCACATGTGGTGATGGACCACCAGAAAGTACCAATATGTAGTGATGGACCACCAGAAAGTACCAATATGTAGTGATGGACCACCAGAAAGTACCAATATGTAGTGATGGACCACCAGAAAGTACCAATATGTAGTGATGGACCACCAGAAAGTACCAATATATAGTGATGGACCACCAGAAAGTACCAATATATAGTGATGGACCACCAGAAAGTACCAATATATAGTGATGGACCACCAGAAAGTACCAATATGTAGTGATGGACCACCAGAAAGTACCAATATATAGTGATGGACCACCAGAAAGTACCAATATGTAGTGATGGACCACCAGAAAGTACCAATATGTAGTGATGGACCACCAGAAAGTACCAATATATAGTGATGGACCACCAGAAAGTACCAATATATAGTGATGGACCACCAGAAAGTACCAATATGTAGTGATGGACCACCAGAAAGTACCAATTGAGAACATCAACAAATGTTCCCAATCCTATGTTGTCAATGTGCTGATCCGGGATGAGCCGGTCGGCCGAGCGGACAGCACGCTGGACTTATGATCCTGTGGTCCCGGGTTCGATCCCGGGCGCCGGCGAGAAACAATGGGCAGAGTTTCTTTCACCCTATGCCCCTGTTACCTAGCAGTAAAATAGGTACCTGGGTGTTAGTCAGCTGTCACGGGCTGCTTCCTGGGGGTGGAGGCCTGGTCGAGGACGGGGCCGCGGGGACACTAAAGCCCCGAAATCATCTCAAGATAACCTCAAGATATCATCACCTGAATTGAATGCTCAAGGTTGTTATTTCACAGGATTTGTGCAAAATATGATTATTAATATTATTATTATAATTATTTTTATTATTAATAGTTCTGTTATTATTATTTTTATTATTTATATATTCTCTACGATGTTGCTGTTGTTTAAGATTCGCTACCTGGAACAAAAAGTTCCAAGTAGCACGGGCTATGGTGAGCCCGTGTTCTCTACGAGGGGCGTACTCGTGTCCCTGGGACTGTAGGGTTTTCCTGGTCATGGTTCGTAGTGTGTAGAGTTTTGTGAGTTCTGGTTTTGAAATTCCCGGTCTAGGTGGAGGGAACCTTACACCTGATGTCTCTGTTCACCCTGGGGTGAGTAGACACCTGGGAGTTGGGGAATTGTTGTGAGGATGCATCGTAGGGGGTCAGTAGTTGGCTTGTGGGACCAAGCATACAAGTGTGTGCACACACTCACACACACACACACACACACACACACACACACACACACACACACACACACACACACACACACACACACACACACACACACACACACACACACACACATCCAAGAGGGATCCAAGAGTCAATGCTTGATCCTGCAGACACAACTAGGTGAGTACACACACACACACACACACCAACCCGTTCTCGCACTTTCTTACAGTCAATATTGACTTATTAAATAAGTGCATATGTGACACACTAATTTATTGTGAATATTTTAGTTTACCTTGAAAAGCTTCATAGAAAACACCGACCTTACCTAACCTTCTTAGTATGTTAAGATAAGCATCTTATTGCTTCGTAATTACAATTATTACTTAACCTATACCTATAATAGGTTAAGTAATAATTGTAATTACGAAGCAATAAGATGCTTATCTTAACATACTAAGAAGGTTAGGTAAGGTCGGTGTTTTCTATGAAGCTTTTCAAGGTAAACTAAAATATTCACAATAAATTAGTATGTCACATATGCACGTATTTAATAAGTCAATATTGACTATACGAAAGTGCGAGAACGGGTTGCAAACACACACACACACACACACACACACACACACACACACACACACACACACACACACACACACACACACACACACACACACACACACACACACACACACACACACACACACACACACACACACACAAAGACACACTAGGTATGGACTCCAGGCTGGAGTCCATACCTAGTTAAACAAGACGAAGTTAGAGAAGATTCAGAGGTATGCCACCAGACTGGTCCCGGAACTGAGAGGAATGAGTTACGAGGGAGCTGAACCTCACAACCCAAGAAAACAGAAGAGTAAGGGGAGACATGATAACCACCTACAAAATTCTCAGGAGAATTGACAGGTGGACAAAGACAAACTCTTTAGCGCGGGTGGGACACGAACAAGGGGACACAGGTGGAAACTTAGTACCCAGATGAGCCACAGAGACGTTAGGAAGAATTTTTTCAGTGTCAGAGTAGTTAACGGATGGAATGCATTAGGCAGTGATGTGGTGGAGGCTGACTCCATACACAGTTTCAAGTGTAGATATGATAGAGCCCAGTAGGCTCAGGAACCTGTACACCAGTTGATTGACAGATGAGAGGCGGGACCAAAGAGCCAGAGCTCAACCCCCGCAAACACAACTAGGTGAGTACACACACGCAGGGGCCTCGCGGATGAGTGGACAGGGTTCGTAGTTCTAAAGACCCGTGTTCGATTCCCGGCCGAGGCGGAAACAAATGGGTTTCTTTCACCCTAGTGCCCCTGTTCACTTAGCAGTAAATAGGTACTTGGAAGATAGACAGCTGCTTCGGGCTGCTTCCTGGAGATGTGTATGTGTGTGTTAGAAATAAAAAAAACAGTACATATAGTCGAGGAACATACATTGGTTACAAAGACCCAGAGCTAATAGCTCGCTTCTGGCAGACACAAATAATAAATACAAAAAGTAAATTACACATAGTAAATACACACACACACACACACACACACACGTTGGGGTCTGGTAGCTGAGTGGACAGCGCGCGGGACTCGTAATCCTGTGGCCCGGGTTGGATTCCCGGCTCCGGCAGAGACAAATGGGCAGAGTTTCTTTGACACTGATACCCCTGTTACCTAGCAGTAAATATAGGTACCTGGGAGTTTGACAGCTGATATGGGCTGCTTCCTGGGTGTGTGTATGTGTAGTTAGTAACAGTTGATTGATTGACAGTTGAGAGGCGGTCCGAAAGAGCAGAGCTCAACCCCCGCAAGCACAACTAGGTGAATTACACACACACACACACACACACACACACACACACACACACACACACACACAAACCTACCAACGGATAACCCCCCTCTCTCTCCTTCGCCCTCTGTCTATTTCTCGTATTCTCTCTCTCTCTTTCTCTCTCTCTCTCTCTCTCTCTCTCTCTCTCTCTCTCTCTCTCTCTCTCTCTCTCTCTCTCTCTCTCTCTCTCTCTCTCTCTCTCTCTCTCTCTCTCTCTCTCTCTCTCTCTCTCTCAACCCTCCCTCCCACATCCGCACCCCCCCACACCCACGCACACTGGGGTTAGTGTAGACTAATACTAAAGCTAGAACCAAAAAGGGATCAAGCAGGATGGTAAGAAAACAGAACACAGGTGGAGGAGAGGAACAGGACGAGTCATACATGGAGATGACTGCTCGCGCATGGAGGGAAATCACTGAACAAATAAAAGACATGAGAGGAATCATAAGTAAACTGCACAATGAACTAAGAGCAGCGCAATAGGAGATAAAAACCCTAAAAAAGGGATCTCCTCAAACTTTGGCCCTGGTAACCAACCCCCCCAGGTAGCAGGGGACGTAGCAATGGCAGGGACCCCCTACAATGGGCGCCACATTTGCTGACGTGCTGATGATGTGCCCAGATGCCATGTAAACAGTCAAGGAAGTTGTAATGAAAGCAGTAACTTCACAGGAGGCAGCTAGATGCACGAGTCAGCTAATGGAAAGGAAAAGAGCTGTAGTAGTGGCAGGTATTAAGAAACAAGAGGGTTCCAAGAAGGAAGAATGGAGGAATACGGACAAAGCTGCAGTGTCAGGGATACTAAAGGAGCAACACATCCTCCGAATTGACAGTACGTTTTAATACTAAGTGTAATAAGTGCATTTCCTGACTGTTATACATTGTACATATTTGCACTTATGGGGCTGTTACATTTACCCATCCCCCTCCCCAGATTTAAATCTCCTCGTTTTCTGTTAAGACACTTAAAATTTTAAGATGAAATTTAAAAGCTCAGATGCTATAAATTAGTTTTAAATATTAGGATTTTCTTTTTCACGTTTATTAAACAATAGAGATTTTATACAAAATTTGAAAATATCCTGAGTTACTTTACAATTTATGAAATATTTTAGTTTTGTTTTATAAAACTGTAATATCGATATAGCTATAGGTTAAGTAGTAGTTAAGATGTAATAAAATTCTTATCTTCACAGACTAAGACGGTTAGGTTAGGTCGTGGTTTTCTATTCAGCTTTTGAGGTAAACTCAAATGTTCACAATATATTTGACAGTACGATTTAATACTAAGTGTAAATAAGTACAATTCTTAACTGTTATACATAGTACATAATACATAGTACATGGGGGCTCTGTACATTTACCTCCCCATTTTTGGAGGACGGGTTGAAAGGAGATAAGAATGGAAGGGTCTGAAAAAGACATAGAAAACTTGTTGTACCGGATTGGCCAGTACAACAAAGATAAAGACCGGCTGATCAAGGTAGTACTCAGAAACGAGTCCATCAAAGAGGACATCGTAGTAAAAAAGAGCAAACTGAAATATGTAACGAATTACAGAGAGGTATACCTTCAGAGGGACATGACCAGGAAAGAGATAATACAGGCAGCAGATGCAAGGGAAAGGCGCAGGTTGAGGGAAGGGAGCCAGGGAACCTACGCCTCCGACCCAGCAGTCCCAGAGGGGAGTGGGGAACCCCACACCAGCAATTTGGGAACCCCAGAGGGGAGTGGGGAACCCCACACCAGCAATTTGGGAACCCCAGAGGGGAGTGGGGAACCCCACACCAGCAATTTGGGAACCCCAGAGGGGAGTGGGGAACCCCACACCAGCAATTTGGGAACCCCAGAGGGGACTGTAACACCCTAACCCACCACCCCATTGGAGCACCCCACACCCCAAGCACAAATCCTTCCTTCCCCTTCCACAATGCCCATCATACCACCCAAATCCACCCTCCCCCCCCCTTACCCCGCATACCTCCCCTGCCTTCCAATCCCCTGGTCTTCTTCCTGCTCCAAACAGCCCCATACAAGATCTGTGTCTCTCCCACGCTCCTCCATCACACCTGTGTCCCTCCCACGCTCCTCCATCACACCTGTGACACTCCCACGCTCCTCCATCACACCTGTGTCCCTCCCACGCTCCTCCATCACACCTGTGTCCCTCCCACGCTCCTCCATCACACCTGTGTCCCTCCCACGCTCCTCCATCACACCTGTGTCCCTCCCACGCTCCTCCATCACACCTGTGTCCCTCCCACGCTCCTCCATCACACCTGTGTCCCTCCCACGCTCCTCCATCACACCTGTGTCCCTTCCACGCTCCTCCATCACACCTGTATCCCTCCCACGCTCCTCCATCACACCTGTGACACTCCCACGCTCCTCCATCACACCTGTGTCCCTCCCACGCTCCTCCATCACACCTGTGTCCCTCCCACGCTCCTCCATCACACCTGTGTCCCTCCCACGCTCCTCCATCACACCTGTGTCCCTCCCACGCTTCTCCATCACACCTGTGTCCCTCCCACGCTTCTCCATCACACCTGTGTCCCTCCCACGCTCCTCCATCACACCTGTGTCCCTCCCACGCTCCTCCATCACACCTGTGTCCCTCCCACGCTTCTCCATCACACCTGTGTCCCTCCCACGCTTCTCCATCACACCTGTGTCCCTCCCACGCTCCTCCATCACACCTGTGTCCCTCCCACGCTCCTCCATCACACCTGTGTCCCTCCCACGCTCCTTCATCACACCTGTGACACTCCCACGCTCCTCCATCACACCTGTGTCCCTCCCACGCTCCTCCATCACACCTGTGTCCCTCCCACGCTCCTCCATCACACCTGTGTCCCTCCCACGCTCCTCCATCACACCTGTGTCCCTCCCACGCTTCTCCATCACACCTGTGTCCCTCCCACGCTGCTCCATCACACCTGTGTCCCTCCCACGCTCCTCCATCACACCTGTGTCCCTCCCACGCTCCTCCATCACACCTGTGTCCCTCCCACGCTCCTTCATCACACCTGTGACACTCCCACGCTCCTCCATCACACCTGTGTCCCTCCCACGCTCCTCCATCACACCTGTGTCCCTCCCACGCTCCTCCATCACACCTGTGTCCCTCCCACGCTCCTCCATCACACCTGTGTCCCTCCCACGCTCCTTCATCACACCTGTGTCCCTCCCACGCTCCTCCATCACACCTGTGTCCCTCCCACGCTCCTCCATCACACCTGTATCCCTCCCACGCTCCTCCATCACACCTGTGACACTCCCACGCTCCTCCATCACACCTGTGACACTCCCACGCTCCTCCATCACACCTGTAACACTCCCACGCTCCTCCATCACACCTGTGTCCCTCCCACGCTCCTCCATCACACCTGTGTCCCTCCCACGCTCCTCCATCACACCTGTGACACTCCCACGCTCCTCCATCACACCTGGGACACTCCCACGCTCCTCCATCACACCTGTGTCCCTCCCACGCTCCTCCATCACACCTGTATCCCTCCCACGCACCACCAGGTCACATTACCACTCAGCCGGACTCTTTATGTGGTCCACGTTCGAGGTACAGCATCGATATATATAACAAGCAGTTCAGAGCGTTCGTCCTCATTTGACATCGTTCGGATATTGGGTGCGTTTACGAAGCCTTTACATCTTCCTTCAGGGGGCTCCTGACGGCTGAGTGGACAGGGCTCGGGATTCGTAGTCCTAAGGGTTCGATCCCCGGCGGAGGCGGAAACAAATGGGCTGAGTTTTTTTCTGCCCATTTTTGAAGATGCGCCAAGAAATCCCATTATCAGTAAGGATATCAGTAAAGCCATGATGGGGATTCGAACGGGCATGTCGTGGGCCAGGTGGTGAGGTTACCCGGGTTCGAATCTTCATTATGGCTTCTACTGGTGCTGTCCTTGAGCCAAGATGTACATGCTTCGTTGGGGGACACTTGAGTGACGAGTCCGGTCTCATTGACCTGTCACAGGACAGTGCTACTGCTGGATATAAGTCCAGGACTAACAGCGTTCACGTGTTTCCCCCCCTTACGAAACCTGTACATCTTTTCTTGATCATGACAGCTTAGGGGATATCTACCAAACAGTTTACGAGCTTTGAAGCGCTACGATGTATTTACCAAACAGTTTACGAGCTCGGAAGCGCTACGATGTATTTACCAAACAGTTTACGAGCTCGGAAGCGCTACGATGTATTTACCAAACAGTTTACGAGCTCGGAAGCGCTACGATGTATTTACCAAACAGTTTACGAGCTCGGAAGCGCTACGATGTATTTACCAAACAGTTTACGAGCTCGGAAGCGCTACGATGTATTTACCAAACAGTTTACGAGCTCGGAAGCGCTACGATGTATTTACCAAACAGTTTACGAGCTCGGAAGCGCTACGATGTATTTACCAAACAGTTTACGAGCTCGGAAGCGCTACGATGTATTTACCAAACAGTTTACGAGCGCGGAAGCGCTACGATGTATTTACCAAACAGTGTACGAGCTCGGAAGCGCTACGATGTATTTACCAAACAGTTTACGAGCTCGGAAGCGCTACGATGTATTTACCAAACAGTTTACGAGCTCGGAAGCGCTACGATGTATTTACCAAACAGTTTACGAGCGCGGAAGCGTTACGAGGTATTTACCAAACAGTGTACGAGCACCAGAGCCCTGCTACGTCATTCATAATCTAAAATAAAACTGTGAGATAATTTATCTTTTATCTTTGTGCTCCTGGTAGTAAGTGTTCCGATTGTTTATGTCTGCAAAGTATAGAAAATGGGACAAAGTACAGAAAATTTGTTCATTATAGAAAATGGGTATTGTTCCTCTCAAGCTTTGCCTTGTCTCAGCGTAGGAAAGATGTCTTGAAGACACCTGATGTGTTTGTAGGAATTTTAATGAGTACGAGAAGACAGCTATAATCAAAATGTAAACATTCTTTGGCCTAGAATAGTCTATATGTGTACTATATTAGGCCTAAGATAGCGTGTATTAGGCCTGGGTTTGCTTGAAGAAGTTCTTCAGTTGCCTCTCCGGTTTTCTAGAATGTCATTTGTTTAATATAATAAAGCAAAATGTGGAAATGTTGAGGTGTAAAAGTACATATTTGTACGTTTGAGCAAATAGTTGCTATATGGACTATGTCTTAGGAGGATGGGCTGACAGTGTTGCTACGAATATGAGCCAATATCTGCACCTTTCCAAAGGGATTTCATAGACTGGTTGATCAGATGTATGTCTAGTATGTCTAGTATGTCTAGTATGTCTAGGCAGTATGTCTAGAAATACAATATTCTGTTTGTAACTCATTTTGTATGCAAATACAAATAAATACCTGAAATAAACTATTATTTTATTTAATTATTTATATTTATTATTTTATTAAATAAACTATTCAGGTAAATACCTGAATAAACTGTGCTAATGAGAAGATCCGTAGGAGCTGTTATGAGGGTTCGAACTTATGACGAAAGGTCGAATTACTGACCTCCCTCCCCAAGAATGCGACACCACAACAAACTGGTGGGCACCTACTTACTGCTAGGTGAACAGGTGCATTAGGTGATAAACAAATGCACCCAACTATTTCTCTCCCACCTAGGATTCGAACCCAGAATTCTCGATTGTGAGTCTGGAACGAAGCCGACTGTGGTACCGAGAGCCTTTGAACCACAACCTGGTTGATCAGGTAATACACATGTTTTATATATATATATATATATATATATATATATATATATATATATATATATATATATATATATATATATATATACATATATATATATATATATATATATATATATATAGACAAACATTTTGCCTTCAAATTTAAGCATTATAAAAGTAAATAACCAAACCCACACATAAGGAAGTGACGACACCTCATCCAGGGACACAATTTATCAAGCATTTACATTGCGTAAATGCTTTAAGTATTTATACTTACGAAACCTGTAGATCTTTCCTTATGGCAATGTTGTTATATTGATATCATATATTAAACAATTTATGAGCTCAGAAGCACTTAGAGGTTGTTTATAATAACAATAACCTTGGTTTGTGAAGTCTCCCAGCTTGTAAACCGTTTAATAAATGTAAACAGAGCCGCCATGATTGTTGAAAGATGTACAGGTTTCGTCAGTAGTTGTGTAAATGGTTGATGTATCATTACTCTAGATCCTTATCAAGCTATAACATCTTATGTATTTGTCGGGTTATTTGTTTCCAGCTCTGTTATTATTGCCATTTATTTGCTATACCTACACTTTACACATCACAAACACAACATTACCACAATGTTAAATGGAACGTTGCTGCAACGTTTCATTTAAGTAGCAAAAGTGCAGCAATAATGTGGTATAATGTTGTAATGTTTGTTGGGCCCGACACAAAAAATGTTGCCACAACTTTTATGTTAAACGTTACTACAATGTTCCATCTAAATAACAATAGTAAAAAGATAAGGTTATTATACTGTTTTCCCGCTCACTTGCTCTCCCCTCCGTAAGAAAAGTAGTGGTTAAGCGTTCCGAAAAGCGTCAGAACTGAGTCTATGCTAACCTACCCAATTCGATAAGCATTATAGGCCTATGAAACGGCTTTATTGTGGTGGTTTTCATTTTCTCAAATATCAGTTCAAATTTTTATGCTGGATTCGAGAACGCCAAAAAATATCGTGCATTCTGCAACAGGATAAGTTGAATCTCAACGTTGATTTAACGTTAAATAAACGTTATCAACGTGATTTAAACTCTGAATCAACGTTGAACTAACGTTAAATGAACGTAATTTCAACTCTGAATCAACGTTGAATCAATGTTAAATGAACGTTGCATCAACGTTAAATAAACGTTAAATGAACGTTAAATGAACGTTGAATCAACGTTAAATGAACGTTGAATAAACGTTAAATGAACGTTGAATAAACGTTAAATGAACGTTATCAACGTAATTTAAACTCTGTATCCTCGTTGAACTAACGTTAAATGAACGTAATTTCAACTCTGAATCAACGTTGCTTCTACGTTGAATTAACTTTAAACTTATAGATTGCGCCCAAACACGTAATTTGTAAGCTGCGTCAAGTGAAGGTTGTCTAATGCGACGATGTCTGTCCTGTTTCTTGCTTTGTATGTGCGTGCACGCGCGTGTGTGTCTGCTTGCGTGTGTCCGCTTGCATGCTAAGCTTGCGTTCTGAACTGTCGCAAGCTGAATTATGCATATGGAAAAGTCTTAGCCCAGACCTCGTTGAAATCCTGCTTGCTGAATTCTGAAGTGTGCTCGCTCTGTGCTTGGAATTCAAAATGCGGACAGATATACCAATAAAGTAATGTAGTTCCAATCCTATTTCCTGAATTCTGAAACTTCATACATAAGTCAACTGTTTCGAGGTCAAGGGATTATGGGGTCAAGGCTGTAGATTGTAAAAGTCTCCCTTCCGGGACATTGAAGTCACTCTGCGTAAAAGGCCATTGGGGGCGTTGTTGAACGTTGGTGTTGGTTAGACGTTTAATTGACGTTGGAAATTTGTGCCCATTGAGAGAAAGAGAGAGAGAGAGAGAGAGAGAGAGAGAGAGAGAGAGAGAGAGAGAGAGAGAGAGAGAGAGAGAGAGAGAGAGAGAGAGAGAGAGAGAGAGAGAGAGAGAGACAGAGACAGAGACAGAGACAGAGACAGAGACAGACAGACAGACAGACAGAGAACGACATCAATAACAATGATTTTTGTTTAAGTTGCCTTAAAGCAATCCAGTGTGACCTAATAATATAACTGTACTAAAAATTAGTTTACTATAGATGATTCGTTACAATTTGTAAAATAATTGGGCTCACTGAAGTTCAGGAATTGTGTTTAGGTCTAGTGACAGCTGAGTGGACAGCGCTTCGGATTCGTAGTCCTGAGGTTCTGGGTTCGATCCCCGGTGGAGGCAAAGACAAATGGGCAAAATGTTTCTTTCACTCTGATGCCCCTGTTACCTAGCAGTAAATAGGTACCTGGGAGTTACACAGCTGCTACGGGCTGCTTCCTGAGAGTGTGTGTAACAAAAAGGAGGCCTGGTCGAGGACCGGGCCGCGGGGACGCTAAGCCCCGAAACATCTCAAAATATCCTCAAGATAGTGTTCTTGTGGAGTCCTAATTTAAAATGTAAAAAAGCTGATGTTTGATCAATAATTGACTAAAAAAAATTGATGTTTGGATAGAAAACAATTCCAAAAATCATTAGAAATTGCAACAAATGATTCAGTTTTAACTCACAAATTAATAGAGATTCTATATCATCACCCACGGATTCAAAATTTCTAAATATGTTAAATAAATGTAACTACTGCTATAAGTTAAATAGCAGTTGTAACAGTATATAAGTCAACCGGGTAAAGATATTAATTCACTGTTCAGCTCAGCAGTGAATGAATGCTTGAAGCCCGTAAGCATTATAATTTCGCTCTTAGCCTCCTCTATTGAATTAACAAGGCCGCTATTGAGTTGACAGTTAATTAATCACATCTATAACCTTCTTCTGTCAATATTTTACTCCATATCGAAGCAAGGTACAAGTCAACTGGAGAGAGAGAGAGAGAGAGAGAGAGAGAGAGAGAGAGAGAGAGAGAGAGAGAGAGAGAGAGAGAGAGAGAGAGAGAGAGAGAGAGAGAGAGAGAGAGAGAGAGAGAGAGAGAGAGAGAGAGAGAGAGAGAGAGAGAGAGAGAGAGAGAGAGAGAGAGAGAGAGAGAGAGAGAGAGAGAGAGAGAGAGAGAGAGAGAGAGAGAGAGAGAGAGAGAGAGAGAGAGAGAGAGAGAGAGAGAGAGAGAGAGAGAGAGAGAGAGAGAGAGAGAGAGAGAGAGAGAGAGAGAGAGAGAGAGAGAGAGAGAGAGAGAGAGAGAGAGAGAGAGAGAGAGACAGAGAGAGAGAGACAGAGAGAGAGAGACAGAGAGACAAACAGAAAGAGAGACAGAGAGACAAACAAAAAGAGAGATAATATTTCCTTATATTATGTAGAACAAGCAAATATTCTACAACGAAAACTGTAGCGTAATTCCAATGAAGTAAACACAAATTATTTTTAATTAACGAAGAAAATAAAGTGTTGACAAATCGCCTGAATTTTATAAAAATTTACCACGGGAATGATAACAAAAAATCAATAAATGAAAAGTAAAGGAACGGAAGGTTTAAGAGAGAGACATGCAGACAATGACATAATGTTTTGTTTTATCCTTGAGGATACATACCAGGATTTACGTACTCCAGAATATTAATTACCAACGCACTGATGTCTAGCCTGTGAGGCCTGTGAGAAGCATAAGATATATATATATATATATATATATATATATATATATATATATATATATATATATATATATATATATATATATATATATATATATATATAGGCGGGCTGTGTTAAGGGCTATTCTTGCTGGTTGGTCAGTAAGGTGTTGTGGTGGTCTTAATATCCCTCGAGAGGTTGATAGGTCTTAAGTCCAACACCAAACCAATATGAATCTGGATCTGTTACTGGCTTAGGGTCACAGTCTTGTGATGGGAAAATAAACTCAGATTATTTTTCTGTCATTCCAGAGTAGGACAGACATTTGGAGCTAGCAACATCCACCTTTCCAAGATGACACATATGGGGTATGTGAATGTCATAGCCAGTCGGGGCTGGCCCTAGTGCCACTTTTTAAGAAAAACCAACCTGTATAGCACCCCCCCCCCCCCCCCCCGCGATTTTCATGAAATCAGAACTCGGGGATATATTTTTCGTAGACTTTTTTTTATCGGTTTTTCATTGTTTTTTACTAAAACATTTTTTATTACAAGTAATCCTTCCTCTTTCAAGGGAAAGAAACAGGAGAGATTGGGACCTTAATCTAAGTACCAATCACACATCAACATACACACCACATCAACTCATACACATCAACTCGTCCTCCTGAAATAATTATACCTATAGTATGGAGGCCTGGTCGACGACCGGGCCGCGGGGACACTAAGCCCCGGAAGCACCTCAAGGTAGCCTCAAGGTAGTAACAATTTGGTATGAAATACCAACATATATACTGATGGTCCAACAGAAAGCCACTTATTGTACGACTTTATAGCGTCAAGGGGAAAAAAATAAAGTTAAAACCAAACTTATATACTATTAGGTCTTGTATAGCATATTGGCCTAAGCCAGACGTGTATGAGGCTAAGCCAGACGTGTATGAGGCTAAGCCAGACGTGTATGAGGCTAAGCCAGACGTGTATGAGGCTAAGCCAGACGTGTATGAGGCTAAGCCAGACGTGTATGAGGCTAAGCCAGACGTGTATGAGGCTAAGCCAGACGTGTATGAGGCTAAGCCAGACGTGTATGAGGCTAAGCCAGACGTGTATGAGGCTAAGCCAGACGTGTATGAGGCTAAGCCAGACGTGTATGAGGCTAAGCCAGACGTGTATGAGGCTAAGCCAGACGTGTATGAGGCTAAGCCAGACGTGTATGAGGCCAGACGTGTATGAGGCTAAGCCAGACGTGTATGAGGCTAAGCCAGACGTGTATGAGGCTAAGCCAGACGTGTATGAGGCTAAGCCAGACGTGTATGAGGCTAAGCCAGACGTGTATGAGGCCTTACATTGCTACGAGAGTATAGGTTAAATCTTATATATTTATGTTGAGTTTCTGTTTTGTCCAAATTCAGTAATCCAGAACTCAACTTTCTGGTGGTCCATCACTATTTATTGGTACTTTCTGGTGGTCCATCACTATTTATTGGTACTTTCTGGTGGTCCATCACTATATGTTGGTACTTTCTGGTGGTCCATCGCTATTTATTGGTACTTTCTGGTGGTCCATCACTACATGTTGGTACTTTCTGGTGGTCCATCACTATATGTTGGTACTTTCTGGTGGTCCATCACTATATGTTGGTACTTTCTGGTGGTCCATCACTATATGTTGGTACTTTCTGGTGGTCCATCACTATATGTTGGTACTTTCTGGTGGTCCATCACTATATGTTGGTACTTTCTGGTGGTCCATCACTATATGTTGGTACTTTCTGGTGGTCCATCACTATATGTTGGTACTTTCTGGTGGTCCATCACTATATGTTGGTACTTTCTGGTGGTCCATCACTACATGTTGGTACTTTCTGGTGGTCCATCACTATATGTTGGTACTTTCTGGTGGTCCATCACTATATGTTGGTACTTTCTGGTGGTCCATCACTATATGTTGGTACTTTCTGGTGGTCCATCACTATATGTTGGTACTTTCTGGTGGTCCATCACTATATGTTGGTACTTTCTGGTGGTCCATCACTACATGTTGGTACTTTCTGGTGGTCCATCACTATATGTTGGTACTTTCTGGTGGTCCATCACTACATGTTGGTACTTTCTGGTGGTCCATCACTATATGTTGGTACTTTCTGGTGGTCCATCACTACATGTTGGTACTTTCTGGTGGTCCATCACTATATGTTGGTACTTTCTGGTGGTCCATCACTATATGTTGGTACTTTCTGGTGGTCCATCACTACATGTTGGTACTTTCTGGTGGTCCATCACTACATGTTGGTACTTTCTGGTGGTCCAACACTACATGTTGGTACTTTCTGGTGGTCCAACACTACATGTTGGTACTTTCTGGTGGTCCATCACTACATGTTGGTACTTTCTGGTGGTCCATCACTACATGTTGGTACTTTCTGGTGGTCCATCACTACATGTTGGTACTTTCTGGTGGTCCATCACTATATGTTGGTACTTTCTGGTGGTCCATCACTACATGTTGGTACTTTCTGGTGGTCCATCACTACATGTTGGTACTTTCTGGTGGTTCATCACTACATGTTGGTACTTTCTGGTGGTCCATCACTACATGTTGGTACTTTCTGGTGGTCCATCACTATTTCTTGGTACTTTCTGGTGGTCCATCACTACATGTTGGTACTTTCTGGTGGTTCATCACTACATGTTGGTACTTTCTGGTGGTCCATCACTACATGTTGGTACTTTCTGGTGGTTCATCACTACATGTTGGTACTTTCTGGTGGTCCATCACTACATGTTGGTACTTTCTGGTGGTCCATCACTACATGTTGGTACTTTCTGGTGGTTCATCACTACATGTTGGTACTTTCTGGTGGTCCATCACTACATGTTGGTACTTTCTGGTGGTCCATCACTACATGTTGGTACTTTCTGGTGGTCCATCACTACATGTTGGTACTTTCTGGTGGTCCATCACTACATGTTGGTACTTTCTGGTGGTCCATCACTACATGTTGGTACTTTCTGGCGGTCCATCACTACATGTTGGTACTTTCTGGTGGTCCATCACTACATGTTGGTACTTTCTGGTGGTCCATCACTACATGTTGGTACTTTCTGGTGGTCCATCACTACATGTTGGTACTTTCTGGTGGTCCATCACTACATGTTGGTACTTTCTGGTGGTCCATCACTACATGTTGGTACTTTCTGGTGGTCCATCACTACATGTTGGTACTTTCTGGTGGTCCATCACTATATGTTGGTACTTTCTGGTGGTCCATCACTATATGTTGGTACTTTCTGGTGGTCCATCACTACATGTTGGTACTTTCTGGTGGTCCATCACTATATGTTGGTACTTTCTGGTGGTCCATCACTACATGTTGGTACTTTCTGGTGGTCCATCACTATATGTTGGTACTTTCTGGTGGTCCATCACTATATGTTGGTACTTTCTGGTGGTCCATCACTATATGTTGGTACTTTCTGGTGGTCCATCACTACATGTTGGTACTTTCTGGTGGTCCATCACTACATGTTGGTACTTTCTGGTGGTCCATCACTATATATTGGTACTTTCTGGTGGTCCATCACTATATGTTGGTACTTTCTGGTGGTCCATCACTATATGTTGGTACTTTCTGGTGGTCCATCACTATATGTTGGTACTTTCTGGTGGTCCATCACTATATGTTGGTACTTTCTGGTGGTCCATCACTATATGTTGGTACTTTCTGGTGGTCCATCACTATATATTGGTACTTTCTGGTGGTCCATCACTACATGTTGGTACTTTCTGGTGGTCCATCACTACATGTTGGTACTTTCTGGTGGTCCATCACTATATGTTGGTACTTTCTGGTGGTCCATCACTATATGTTGGTACTTTCTGGTGGTCCATCACTATATGTTGGTACTTTCTGGTGGTCCATCACTACATGTTGGTACTTTCTGGTGGTCCATCACTCCATGTTGGTACTTTCTGGTGGTCCATCACTATATGTTGGTACTTTCTGGTGGTCCATCACTCCATGTTGGTACTTTCTGGTGGTCCATCACTATATGTTGGTACTTTCTGGTGGTCCATCACTCCATGTTGGTACTTTCTGGTGGTCCATCACTATATGTTGGTACTTTCTGGTGGTCCATCGCTACATGTTGGTACTTTCTGGTGGTCCATCGCTACATGTTGGTACTTTCTGGTGGTCCATCACTACATGTTGGTACTTTCTGGTGGTCCATCACTATATGTTGGTACTTTCTGGTGGTCCATCACTATATGTTGGTACTTTCTGGTGGTCCATCACTATATGTTGGTACTTTCTGGTGGTCCATCACTATTTATTGGTACTTTCTGGTGGTCCATCACTGTATGTTGGTACTTCCTGGTGGTCCATCACTGTATGTTGGTACTTCCTGGTGGTCCATCACTGTATGTTGGTACTTCCTGGTGGTCCATCACTGTATGTTGGTACTTCCTGGTGGTCCATCACTGTATGTTGGTACTTCCTGGTGGTCCATCACTGTATGTTGGTACTTCCTGGTGGTCCATCACTATATGTTGGTACTTCCTGGTGGTCCATCACTATATGTTGGTACTTTCTGGTGGTCCATCACTATATGTTGGTACTTTCTGGTGGTCCATCACTATATGTTGGTACTTTCTGGTGGTCCATCACTATATGTTGGTACTTTCTGGTGGTCCATCACTATATGTTGGTACTTTCTGGTGGTCCATCACTATATGTTGGTACTTTCTGGTGGTCCATCACTATATGTTGGTACTTTCTGGTGGTCCATCACTATATGTTGGTACTTTCTGGTGGTCCATCACTACATGTTGGTACTTTCTGGTGGTCCATCACTACATGTTGGTACTTTCTGGTGGTCCATCACTACATGTTGGTACTTTCTGGTGGTCCATCACTACATGTTGGTACTTTCTGGTGGTCCATCACTACATGTTGGTACTTTCTGGTGGTCCATCACTACATGTTGGTACTTTCTGGTGGTCCATCACTACATGTTGGTACTTTCTGGTGGTCCATCACTACATATTGGTACTTTCTGGTGGTCCATCACTACATATTGGTACTTTCTGGTGGTCCATCACTACATATTGGTACTTTCTGGTGGTCCATCACTACATATTGGTACTTTCTGGTGGTCCATCACTACATATTGGTACTTTCTGGTGGTCCATCACTACATGTTGGTACTTTCTGGTGGTCCATCACTACATGTTGGTACTTTCTGGTGGTCCATCACTACATGTTGGTACTTTCTGGTGGTCCATCACTACATATTGGTACTTTCTGGTGGTCCATCACTACATGTTGGTACTTTCTGGTGGTCCATCACTACATATTGGTACTTTCTGGTGGTCCATCACTACATATTGGTACTTTCTGGTGGTCCATCACTACATATTGGTACTTTCTGGTGGTCCATCACTACATATTGGTACTTTCTGGTGGTCCATCACTACATATTGGTACTTTCTGGTGGTCCATCACTACATGTTGGTACTTTCTGGTGGTCCATCACTACATGTTGGTACTTTCTGGTGGTCCATCACTACATGTTGGTACTTTCTGGTGGTCCATCACTACATGTTGGTACTTTCTGGTGGTCCATCACTACATATTGGTACTTTCTGGTGGTCCATCACTACATATTGGTACTTTCTGGTGGTCCATCACTACATGTTGGTACTTTCTGGTGGTCCATCACTACATATTGGTACTTTCTGGTGGTCCATCACTACATATTGGTACTTTCTGGTGGTCCATCGCTACATGTTGGTACTTTCTGGTGGTCCATCACTATATATTGGTACTTTCTGGTGGTCCATCGCTACATGTTGGTACTTTCTGGTGGTCCATCACTACATATTGGTACTTTCTGGTGGTCCATCACTATTTATTGGTACTTTCTGGTGGTCCATCGCTATATGTTGGTACTTTCTGGTGGTCCATCACTATATGTTGGTACTTTCTGGTGGTCCATCACTATATGTTGGTACTTTCTGGTGGTCCATCACTATATGTTGGTACTTTCTGGTGGTCCATCGCTATATGTTGGTACTTTCTGGTGGTCCATCACTATATGTTGGTACTTTCTGGTGGTCCATCACTACATATTGGTACTTTCTGGTGGTCCATCACTACATATTGGTACTTTCTGGTGGTCCATCACTACATATTGGTACTTTCTGGTGGTCCATCACTACATATTGGTAC